TGTCACCACCGAGGCTTTGTGCCTACAGCAGGAATTATGAGATGACTTCTGATAGAAGTCAAAGAAATCACGGCCTCATGCATCATCCTATTTTTCTTACAATTACTTGATTACCAGATAACTTTGTGCATTAAAAGCACGTGCCTCAAAGTTGTAGTATTGTATCTTCAGTAGAAACAAGCAGAAGTCATCGCCATGCTCAGCATGATGCTTTTTTTGGTCAAAAAAACATCAGAACCACAGGTTGCTCAGATGGCAATGCTGCCCTCTGTAACCAGGTGGCCACTCCCCCCTCAGAAACAGAACAGATGCAAAAAATAAAATGTTAAGAAGAGGTTAGGATTCAATAAATGGAGAGACAAACACTTTGATTTGGGGACTGGCCTGTCTTTTTCCCATCCTGATGGTGTAGGTTTACTGAACTCAGGGACAAAAGACTGCTCAGTCCTTCATCACTTTATCTTTGGTTGTCTGATTTTGCTGTGTTTGCTGCTGCCAGAGCAAGTTCTGCACTCAGTCACTCACATCCAGTTGTCATGAGAGCTGATCAACACCTTGCACAGATACCTGTGCACAGAACATGCCTTTACTGACTGACCTCCATTTCCAGCAGTACTTTACTCTGGGCCTCATCAGATTTCCATCACAGGAAAATTTGGGCACTCCTTCCAGTGCCTTGATTTTGATTAAAAACATAGCTTTAATTCTACTCATAATTTTTGAAAAACTTGGATAATTTTAACAGAGCTTTTAAAAAAAAAACTGTGATTTTTCATCTTCCAATTACTGCATCAAAGCTTGAAAAATTACAGATTTGCTATGGTCCATGTTTCAAATGAGGGCTCAATGCCAGTTTGCCACTGGGGACTAAAGATGAAGCAAATATGAAAGAGTAAATGCAGTCCTGTGTGTTCAACACAGAAGCCACATACTGTTCCAAGGAACGTTTCAGACATAGCCATATAACTGATTTGGAAAGGAAAACTCTGCTGCAGCTTGAGAGAATTCAGTGCTAACTGGAGTAACGATCACTCGCTCTCATAATGGAACTTATCAGAAAAACAAAAACATCCTTAATATTCCTAGCACAAACCAGGCATGGATCCAAAAATATTTTACCTCTGAGTAACTGGGGAAATGAGCTTTTTCCACCGTGCGTTCTACTGCAGTGACTCACCAAGGAACTCAGCCCCCAGTGTAAGGCATCCTTGCACAGTGGTCCATCAGGAGCAATGCTCAGCCAAGCATATGGCATCACAATCACAGGCAGCAAGCAAACTGAAGATTTATTTCACCATGGGTATGAAATGTATATTTCATTATGTCCACTATGCAGATGAGCTGGGCATATAACCTCGGAGAGCTCGATTACAAGACTAAAGGATGGTGAATGCTGCTTTTCCCCAAAGTTCTACCAGTATTGTATCAAATATTCAAAACAAAGCTCTGTTCATGTCAGTTCATGGTGGTTTGTCCCAAATGACCAGGGGATCACTACTGTAAGGCACATACATACATAATCCTGTCTGGGAAAAAATTACAGGAAAATATTCAGAGGACAAAGGACAAATTGGCCCTACCCAATCTTGTGCTGTGAGTGCCCCCTCCCACCCACCATCTCAGGAGAATAAAGCATATTTATTCTCACTACTGTTTTAAAGAAGAGATGCTGACTGTTTAACAAGTCCTATGGTAACACATATCTTTAAGCTCAAAAGGCACAGCTGGATGATGGAAAAGAGCCAAGAGAACAAGACCTGCTTTCCTTGCTCCTCTTTCCTTTTCCCCAGGTCAATGGCTTCCCTCGCCCCAGCCCAGCCGCCCCCTGACTCCTCTGTGGGCAGATTCAATTCACTGAACCAGTAGTATACAATGCAGGCAAAAAAAATAAAAAGAAAAAAAAAAAGTAATCTATTTCCAGCTCTGGAAGTTGTGTTGTCCTGGCAAAGGGTCTGTGAAGCATGACAGCCGGCACAAGGAAGGGGGCTGTGCGGCAAGGGAGGAATGCGGGAGCACGGTGAGGGTGCACTGTCGCTGTTTTATCGCTGAGCCGCTGCTCCGCTCGGGCCCCGGAGCAGGGGAGGCGTCGCTGTCTCCGGTGAGCACTGGGCAGAGCCAGATGTGCCGAGTACTCACCTGCAGGGCGGTACGACCCAGCTCCCAGTCTGCTTTGTAATGACTCAGGAACCTGACAAAACGCCTGAATCATTGCCAATTATTCATGTGTCATTTTTGATGTGTTGGAAAGAAGCTCATGGAGACAAGTTGTTCTGACAGTAAGACATACTTTGGTGTTGCTCAGCTAGGGGAGAAGGCATTCGCTTTCCAGAGGATATTACATGAAGTCCCTGATGATTCCTGCTTACCAGCCACCGTCCTGAGACCTATCCAAACCACACAGAACTTAGTGTTAGGACCTGCCAGCTGCAGTCATGATGGAATCTCTGTTTTTTGTCAAAATATATGCCAACATAATGCGGGTGTTTACATACAATATATCCCATATAAAAGGAATCCATTGGTGTACCTGTTTACTTGGTAGTGTATATTTTTGCAATGAATTAAAATGCCAAACTGAATTTCAAGAACTAGGCTGAAGATAGGCACAGAAGGAGTGCAGACTGGGTACAAGAAGTACCATGTTGCTCACTAGCTTTGGGGAAAACAAGACAATGGAAAATGCCCCTCATCTCATGTTTTCTCAAGCATTTTTAAATGAATGTGCAAGATCTTTCACACCACAGTTAATTACAGAAATGGAAATGTGTCTCTCACTGTACCAGAGCAAGAGAAGCAAGGTAAGAAACCAGAATTACAATACAATAGTGCCAGTTTCTGAATTCAGCTGTAACTATGGAAATCTTCATTCACAGTATTTAACTGAGACTATAGAAAAATAGTGCATTTAGCAAGCTTGAATAAATCATTACCTCACTGGCTTACAAATGTTTCAAAGACATGAACTTTTACAAAAATAAAACTTTATAAGAAATTTCTATTTGCAGAAATCATTTGACATTACCTCTGCATTGCCTGTTCATGTTGACTACTGGGATTTGGCTTTTCAGAGTAGCCAAGCATTAAAGGAGATACATTTCAAGACAACAGGCAATGAAAAGTAAATACAAAATTAAGTATTAACATAAATTCTAATACAACGTCCTGTTATTGTTCAATTACTGTTAAAAGCTGGTACTGTCAGCAACAGTATTTTATTTTTTCAGGTTTTATAAAGTCAACAGGGGACACTGGGCCAAATTCTTCTCTCACTTATATGTGTTTTTCCCTCCCACCTTCATTGGTGTCAGCAGCCTCAGCTTGCTGCATTGTCACAGTTCCCAATGCTCCTCATACGTAAGCTCGAATAAAGGAGTAGTGTGGTATTAAGAGCAAACAAAACAAAACAGAAGAAATAGATCAATATAGCACATTTCTTCTCTGCATCCTGCTCCCCTGATGTTCTGGGCTGTCAGGGAGTACTTCACCAGCTGCTCCCTGGTGTGTGGTACAAGCCTGTTGTTAATCTCTGCTTCATACAGCATTTTTCTTTACTCTTCCGGTACAGAAAGTAACTGACAGAAGATAAAGCAAAAGGATGAAAAATAATTTTCAAACATCAATTCCAAACCTTTCTTAATAGAGGTGCTTGGTTTGAGACAGCCAGTGAACAAGTTTTTGCTTGCTATTTATTGATGTCCAAGACAGGGAATGCTCTAGATGCTGTATTTATTTCAACATTCACTAGACCAAGGCATCATGTAGAACAACTGCGCCATACATGTGTTTGACAAACACTTAAGCTAATCCATAGCCACACAAGTTTGGTTAGTGGTGTTTGGACACAACAAAGAAGGCATTTCTAGTTCACAGGGATGGGCACATTTCTGGCAGGACTCATCACTGAATTCCAACCAGATCAGGGACATTTGGATTCCCAAAATCACACTACATCTGGTGATTTGGCCTTGGCAGCAAGACCCAAAAGGCTTGGCCACAGTAACAAAACAAAAGGTAAAGGTGGCAAGGCACTTGGCAGAACTATGATTGCTGCAGGCAAGATAAAATCATGAAACCATGACGGTCTGGGTCTGCACTGTGAGTGCTGTAAAGATGGCCTTAAGGAATGACTATGGAAAATGGTACAGTGTGGGAAGAGATGCAGTTATCCTATAGTCCCTTTTCCCTTAAGTTTTCTCTGAAGCTTTTTTTTTTTCTTTTTAAAAAAAAGACCTGGCAGCAAAACAACAGTTTTAAACTGTTCTTTACTGACATGATTGGAATGTTTGGGTGTGAGCCTTGTCACAGTATGTTACAGGCTGAGCACTGTGCAGCAAGTCCCATGCCTTTGAGCACAAGCTGGACACGGGGAGTGCATTTCTTGTGCACATGGGAGCCCTGATATTTCACTGTCTGGAAACAGTTCAGAGTTGTCAACGACGCAGATTTGCTAATCAAAGCTCCACATGGCTGAAGGACACACACACACTGACCTTTACTACAGCCCTGGGAATGCTGCAGCAGCCTGAAATGACTTTTTAGAGCTGCTCCCACTGTTTGAGTTCTTTGCAAATATTGGCTGGGATACTGTGCCTCCAAACAAAGCACCTTTTAAATATGTACTTCTCAGAGAGAAGGGAGGAATTATCTTTGATTCAACAGGGCTTTCAGATACCCTTTCTAGATTACTACAGTCATTTCATTCAGTTATGCAGACTTCCAATTAAAAGTTAATGAAAACTAACACACTTCTTGTTTCTCCTGAGGCACATTTGCTCTCCTATTCAGATGGCTGAGAAAAATAAGTCAGAAGAAAATGCCTCCTTGTCTGACAAAGGGTGCAGGGATTCTGGGAGCTGCCTGGCAGCAAATTCCTGCATCAACACTATTGCTGTAATTTTGAATCAGTTGTGCTCATTTTCCAAGTGTGGTTTATAGCCACCTCCCACATGGAAATGCATAAAGTATCATTAGCTCTGATGGGCACCCTTTGTCTTCCCAGGAAATGACTAAATGCTATCCTCAAAAAGCTGACCACTGGAGAGAAGTTACAGACTCATGTTTGGCACAGAGTGTGGCGTTCGCAGCTGTACTGCCTGCCTGCCAGGAGCTGTCTGCCTACAGAACATGCTGTCTTCCAGCTGCTCGACCCACGATAGTCCAAGAGGATAAGAGCAGTGTTAGAGAAGTGAATGGACTTTCTGTTTGCAGATTTCTCTTGCTTGGTTTTATAGCTCTTTTCTGGGGAAAGTGAGCTTGCTGCCAGTCTTCACATGATTGCAGATTTGAGAAGTGTTTCCTGGATTAATCTAAGGCATTGCTTTTTGACTCAGGGCAAGGTGTCCATTATTAACATGCAAGAAAAAAACCCCACCCTGTGACTCATATATTTTACCCACTGATACATGCAAATACAAACCAGAATGACTTGAATACAGGATTGTATTGGGGGGTGGTTTTTGTTGTTTTGCTTTTTTTTGCTAACATCTTTAAACCCTTGCGCTTCATAGACCCTGACCTCCCTTATTCCAGCTCTTCTTTTAGCTGTTCCTGTTTAATCCTAGCAATCACCTTGAGTCATGACGCTGGGTATAATGCAATAGATTCACATGTACAATTCCTGTATTTAAAAAGTGCTTGTTTTTCTGAACACAGCAAAAAGAAGGCAAACAGCAAGAGCCCGCCTATGCTTACATTAAAGTACTTTCCAGGAAGCCCTTTGCCTCAGTGTTCTTCTTCCTTTCAGCATCATGTCCCTGAACTCAGTTTACTGTGCCCTTTGCATTTCTAGCCCTTTTTTTAAAGTTCTTTTCCCCTCTCCTATATGCACATGTATGACTCCACAATTTCTGGCTTAACCACTTTCTGTCTGTATCATTTACCAGTACACTAATTGCAAGCCTATATGGGGACATGCTATTACTTAATCTTGTGATATTGGTGCAATATTTGGAGAGGTGGATTGTACTGGTATGGGTTTCAGTAATCAGTCATTCAACTGCTTCCTCATGCCAAACCAATTTAATGCATTTTTTTCTCATCACATAGCTTTTTCTTACAATTTTCAACAAGAGTTGATGTGATCAATCACAAGTTGATTACATTTTGCTGCATGGAAAGGGAAGTAAATTAGAATTGCACACATGAATTTCACAAACGGCCAAAATTATGCTGGGATAGCTCCACAGGCTGATGGAGAGAACAAAAATCACTCCCAGGGTGCGATTTTGTATTCCCTCCTGCTCTCCTGGCCTGCTGGAACACCCTTCCCTGCTGCCTGCCCTGCTTGCTGAGCACTTGGTGGAGTTGGCTGAACTTGAATCCAAGTTTAAAAGTGCTTTTGGGAGAGTTCAGAGCACTTTCACTTTAAAGCATGGCTGGATACATATTTTTATGGGTGGTGACTTGGAAGGCCTCAGAGGGGATATGAAACAGGAAGCAAGAAAGGTCTCTCTATAAATGAGGGTACAGTTGGGTGGCTTAAACCAGACCGTAGACAAAGTGAACAGAAACACAGTGATCTGCCCTAGAGGCTCCTGGGTTATCTGTTCTTGTACCTTTAACCTGTATGGCAGCAGTAAGACTGAGCCAGTTTACACAAGGGCACAGAGACACATCACCTGAACCCAGCTGTTTCAGTGGGCAGATCAAAGCACTCTGTGCACTTTGTGATTCTTAGGCCTTCCATTGAGATCAAACGGAAAGGGAGATTAATTGCTGCGAGCACTGAAAATGAATGACTGTGCCCATGATGACAATATTTGTGAATGTATTTGTTTTCTAGTATTGAAAGTAAATATTTTATTCATTATCTCATAGGAATGCATGATTATATCACGAAACACATTTAAAAGAAACAAAAATATTGTGTGCTACAGCAGTTTGCTAAGGAAACTGAAATAGTGACTTAGGTGAATCAGTCCTTGATAACCCAAACTGTAATTTAAAACGCAAATGCCTTTCTGAGCTCATCTATTCTGAGCTGGATAGAGCCCAGCATGTTTCAGTTTTTAAATAACTCATTCCCATGACCTTTGCAATTCACTACCTTACACAACAGTGCAAAAAAGAGCCTCATACACATGACTCAGTCTGCCTTAGGGTTCCTGAAATTTAAGAAGGCAGCCTACATAACACGATCACAAGCAAAAGGAAAATAAAAGACAGCTTATATAACATCCAGACAAATTGAACAAACCTCTGGAGTTACACCAGGCTGCAGGCTGCAGAGATGCATCCAAAGTTCAAAGAAGTTTCAAAGAAACAGCCTGATGTGGCTTTTAAAGTCAACACTAATAGAATAAATAATCCTTCTTCTTAAAATACTAGTCGAAAACACTTAGTTTGCAATTTAGACTTGCTCCAGGGCACTTGAAACACATTTAGTAAAATAATCATGGGGAAGGAATAAGGTGCCTGGACTGCTAACTTGCAAGCCCAAAAGGTTTGCAGGAAACATGTGTCCTCAGCTCCTGAGAAGCAGGAGTATATCAGTTATCTTGTGCTCACTGAATGTCCTCCCAGTGCTCCTAGATCTTTATGGAGGTTCCTCAGAGGCACAGCCCATTTGTGGGGGACATGTGATCTTGCACCACCTCCCTGGCCTCTGCCACAGGGACATCATTGAACTGTGCAACTGAATATGCAGGTTATTCAGACTTGCAAGCCAAATCCAGCCCTGGGCTGGAATCCAGATTCCAGGAAAGGAAAGCACCCCAGTGCCAATGCAGGGCAAAATTAGAATGGGGATCTCTAAATGACCCTATAAAAAATTCCCCAGGAGAAGAAAGGCACCCCTAAAGCAGCCTGCTGGAAATGATCACAGTCAGGCCTTTTGATTAAAAGCCTGGCACAGGAGCACAGCTTTGCTCTGCTGAGATGGCCAGGATCTCTCAGAGGGAGCTGGCTGCCTCCAGTTCCTGAATACCATAAACAAAGCTCCAGATCCATTTGTAAGACACACTGTTGCTCCTTCTGCTTGTTCCTATCTTACCATGTAACAGCCTAATGGCTAAAGCTTTAACTCTAAAAGGCTGGTATTATTGTCACCTCCATTCCACACTGCCTCTTTTTCCAGGTGAGTCCTTTTACTGTCTGGCTGCAGGTCAGCTGAGGCTAGGGCAATGCCCTACCATGCAGTGAAGACTGGTCACTCACATGGGAATCCACCACTCCTTGGCTCAGAGGCAGCAAATGAGACTGTAACCTTCTGCTTAGGACACCTGCCTGGAAGAACAGAATACTGGATCTAGTCAGGGAAGGGAAGAGGTTAGAACAAATACATGTTTGGTTTCTTGTTTAAAAATATAAATGAAACATATAGTATAAAGCAAATGGTAAATATTTATGTAGATGTAGCCACTTGAGATAATAGGTCTATTTATCAACCAAGGAAACCAGTAACCTAACTCATCCTTTTTCTACAGAAAAAAAATAACAAATGCTTAATATTTTTTTTCATCAAATACAAATCACAAAGGATACAAGGTCTTATTTTCCCAGCATTTAGGTAAGGCTAAACTGAGAAAGGCAAAGAGGAATGAGAAGGAGGTCACTTTGGTATTTTTTCTAAACTTCCTTGTTACAAGGAGTAGAAAATGTGACCTGATCTAACCCTGGGCCCCAAGACACCTAAGAGATTGGTTCAGAGGCTACTCCTGGTTCTAAACTGAAATTTCTAATTTTATCTTCCATAACTACTTTTCACTTCAAAGTACCCTCTCATGCTAAGAATATTTTATCTGTTAAAAGGGTAAGCTATTCTGCTATGGAAAAAGGTGGGGAGATTCCCCTCCAAATTTTATTCTCCACTATTTCCCCTGAAGTCTATTGAATCTCTTGCATGACAGCCATTATAACTGCAAATGTGGTTACTTTTTAAAATGACTGTAACAAAGAAATATGAAAAATGCACATGATGAACTACAGCTGGAAAAGGGACCAGACCCTTCAGAGCTGAGGTAATTGCTGGATCCAACTTCCTGATATCCTGAAACTACTTCCTCATAGCTAGACACTGATAATGTCCTAACTTGTCGTTCTAATTAGGAACGGCGAAAAGAACGACACAGACTCTCAAGGGAGTCACAACAGGAGAATTCCTCAGTTTATTGCTCTAGGCTTGTCTTATAGACAGATACGTGGAAAGTACAGAAAGGAAACTCTTATTGGTTAGCAAATCACTACATTACCATCATTACAAACAGCACCTGGCAGTTGTTTTCTGTCTCTGAGGATTGTTTTGAAATCCTCCTATGAATTTCCCAGGCTAGCTTCTCAGGCAGGACTGATAGGCCATGGGGCCTGCAGTTTCTGCAGCTCCCTGCAGCCTGTTCCAAAGCTAGCATCCATACTAACTACCATTCTTGAAGCTGGCAAAAACATTATTTTTCTACAAAATTTCCTTTACTTCACCCAGCTGTCAGAATGCTGTATTCCCCAAACTGGATGTCAGACCCTAAAAAGCCAGCCCAAGTGAAGATAGCAAACTAGTGCACAACTACTACCAAATGAAAAAAAAATGCATGTAATTAATTAATTAATGCAAATGAGATAGTAATCAACATATAGGATGGTACAAAGAAGTCCCGAGGGGCAAGAGGCAACAGATACTAGCTTAACGTGGAAGATTCTGATTAACTAAATTGAAAAATCTTCAAAATGAAAGTGGTGAAGTACTGGAACTGGGGCCCAGGTAGACTGAAGAACTTCAGCCCTCAAAGATGTCCAAAACAGGACTGACCAAATCCCTGAACAACCTGACCTAGGTTTGAATTGTCTGACCTCAATTATTCTCTGAGTCTAGGAAGTTCTGAACTGTTGAATGAGTCAGACCCATAGCTTCATTTCAGAAAGGAATTAAAAGTGAAGATACAAAGGGCCTCCAGGGGAGACAAAATAAATTAAACTATCGGTGAATCCCACAGTGACAGCAAAATACCCACTGAAAGCAATTGTCTGTGATTCACCATTGGACTTGCCTTTAGAAAATGCAGGGGAGAGATGAATCATGTGGCTCAGTGCTGCTGGCTTACTCTAAAGTTGATAATCTTAGACATTCTTTAAAAATTACCTTTTGCAGGGCTCATTGTAAAACTTCAGAAATGTTCACTGTACTCAGGAACCCAGCTGTGTTGAGGCAGGACAGATGCACCACCCACAGCAAACAGTCCCTGAGAGGGCAGCAGAACACCTGAATGTACAACCAAACTCTCCCTTTGAAGCAGACTGAAGAACACAGGCCACTGCTGCTTGCAGGTGCTCCATCTGCTCTGAGCTCTACTGACACATTTATTTTTTGCCACATAATGCTCCTGATTTCTGCTAAAAATAAATTGCTGCTCCGTGGAACAGCATACTTATTGCTGTCATTGATCTGCAATGCTCCCAGGAAAAGAAAGAACAAAGTTTAGTCCTGCCCAATCATTCTTTTTTATTACATACCTGGCTTGTTTGTCTTCCTTATTTTCTCACTTTTTAGGCTTTTCTTTCTGCTCTCAAAACTTAGGAAAGAAGAATCTCTCTTCTGCCCTTTTTTCCTGCTCCAGGTTGGTATGGCAGCCTGCCAAGTGGAATTGTTTGATCCATGCACTCAGTTTTAAGACAGGTTTTATGAGCAACTGCTCTTTTCAAAGAGCACAGGAGCAACACAGCATTTCTGTAACATTATGTGCAAGGATATCAAAAGAATGTTAAGGAGTCAAGGGATATAAAAACAAGTGAAATATCCTGTGCTCCTGAACTAGCTTCCAGCAAAAATGAGTCAATAAAAATGAATCAATAAAATACTTACACATCAGGCACAAGAACCTATTTAAACTAGGTTATTGCAAACACTTGATTTCAAATGAAAATGGATTTTGATGATCTGTAATATATCTGGAAATGTGTTTTTTTGGAAATGTGTGCTAGGGTAAGTACTGCAGCACTTTAGCTGCAGTGATAATGTATAGCTGCCTGTTGGTTCTGCAGTGCAGAATTAGCCACTGATGGCAACAGGCACATTAAGGCAAGAACTGATGTCTCTTGTTACACTCTGTTGATAATCGTTTCATCCAGGGAAACAGGGAGACTTTGCATACATTGAAGTATTTACAAGAAATTGCTTTTCCATCAATCTCTGGTGTTAAATGTTAAATGTGGAACAACATGTTTTTATTCATTAGAATATTCATTATTCTTTAGAATCAGCAAAAATGGACTGTTGCTCAAAAGTGCACAAAAAGATCTTGGCAAACAGCAAGATGAAGAGAAGGAAAATCTAACTTTCCAGTTAAATTGCAACATCCAACTTCTGGCAACACACCAGCAAACTCACATAAGCTCGAGGAGCAAAATGTCAGCCAAATTTTAGCATTTTATCTCTAATTTGTGGGATTTATATGTGGCTGCTAAGACCACAGACTTTTCTCATTCAGTATTTTAAAGTTCAAATTTTGTCTAATGATCAGATATATCAGCAGGATACATTGAGACAGGGAGCTAAAACTTCCAAGACCAGCTTTAAAAGTAGCTCATCTCCTGGCCTTAAATCAGGAAGAAAGGGGTAATTAAATCAATAAACAGGGAGCTGTACCACTAGCCTTTCAATTTCACAGCAAATTACAAAAAATTGAGCTAATGGGCACAAGAATGGTTCTGAAGACCAAAAGTGCTAAATGCTATTTTGTGGATTTTTTTTTTTTTTCTTGGTAGGTAACTCTAGACAGCAGCATTCTCTGCAAAAGTCATACATGAAGCCACTCTACAAACTCCCCACTTAGGTGATCGGTGATATGAGGTGATCAGTGGTGACTTCACCCCAATCCATTTCTGTGTATCTACTCGTAGAACGATGACTCAAATTCACCCAGGCAGAGGTCTGTCTTCCCACAGCCTTCTCCCTTCTGACAAGATAAGAAGGTGGCTTGATAGTGCACCTTTACATAGTCTATAAGAAAATTTCTAATCTTGGGGGCCTTACAATCACTCTTGCTGCAAGCAGAAAATTATGTAAATGGCTGTTACTTCAGCACATGCTGGCAATCTATTTTTAACCATATGCTACTATTAAAAAGGAATGCAAATAATTTGTTTTCCATGCTGTTTAATGAAGTTTTTAATGTATAATGGTGTCTGTCAGATGCCTTTTTTTGTTTTTTTCACTTTTAAAATAAGCCTCAAAGGGAAGATGATGGCATACCATTCTGGATAAACAAATAAATGTCTCAAAAGTGACCCAGAACACCAATAAATGAACATTTTAATACTCTGTGTTTTCAACTACTACCATGAAAGACTTGCATTTCTAAGGATAGCATAATTTTATCTTTCTAGCTGGTTTTCATACAGAGGGTCACAGGGCAGTGCTTTCCACACTCTTAAATTTCAAGTAGAGCTCTTGAGTCTTCTGGGTACTAAGTACAGATTTTACTTTGTTTCTTCTCCTGGTTTTGGTACACAGCTGTACACATTCTACCAACTGACTAAAGGGTTAAGTATAGTCAAAAATCTATGTTTTGTTACAGCTGCTGAAGGAATGGTAATTGCAACGCCCCAAGGCTTGCTAACATCTACTCCCCGCAAGACACAGCAAAGTGGGCATCCTAGACACTGTGAAAAATAGTAAGGTGTGAGAGCACAGGCATCTATAAACAGAGAGACGATAAGGGAAATCAAAATACTGTCGAATTTACATACTTTCCATATTCAGAAATGTAATTCATATTCATGAAGAGTAAGTCTGGATCAGAGCACCTCAGGAGCACATGCAAAATTGTTGCCCTAGAGATGTGGAAGAGGGACAGGATAGTAACTAAGAGAGGGGAGAGAAAGGAGGGAGGAGAGGCTCCTGCTGCTGCCGCACCGGCAGGAACGACAGGTGCTGTCCTCCCAGGGAAGGGCTGCTCCTTCTTCGTAGCCACCAAACCATTCCTTGCTGGCAGTGACGGCAGCAGTGTGGCGATGTCAGGGCACTGAGGGCCCTGGGCTTTGACACTCCACAGCAGCTTGCTTTGCCTGGAGGGATTCTGAAGAAGGCAAAACACCACGGAGCAAACGAATAAAAAACCAAAAACGTAACACACACACACACACCCCCACACACACGTTCCAGTACAAGCTTCAGTGGTCTCTTGCGGAGTTAACACGCTTTGTGACTGCAAGTCAACTCGAACATTTAAAGGGAAAAAAAAACCAAAAAGCACCACTCTTTAGAAGGAATTCCAATAAGTAATGCAAATTACTTACTCCAGTAAATAAATGCCAATACACACTACAAAACTTAGACATTCTCCTATATTCGCTCTCCGTAACAGTCATAAATTATGTAAATCTGACTCCTGACCGAAGGAGTTTCGGGGGGCTTTCTCAGGGCAGAGAGGTCCCTGGCTTAGGGCACAGACTTCAGCGGTGTCTTGCGGAGTTAACGTGCTTCGTGCCTGCTAAAGACACTTGAACATTTCAGGGGAAGCGGCCCCGGTCCCATTTCTCTCTCACAAAAGCGCTCCGCAGCGGCTCCCCCCTCCCTCACGGCCACCTTGGGGGGCGGGGCACGGAT